CTCTGTGTAATCTGCCTTGGGTCCAAGTGAGAAAGGCGGACTATAATTGACGTAAATAATTACATTTTGTGATGTGCTGAAACTTGAAACATCCTTCTACTGAACCAGGCCACCACCCCATCATTCCATCATGGTCAGTATTGCCCACTCGGACTGGCAGCAGCATCTCAGGCAGAGGTATTTCGCATCACCTCCTTGTCTGATCTCTTGAACTGGAGATGCCAGGGACTGAACCCAGGACCTTCTGCATTCCAAACTGATGCTCCTCCGCCACTCAGCCATAGCTGCTATATTTACCATTAGAAAGGGAGCACAATCTTCATTTGGGGTGAGGAAGCAATTTTTCTCCAGGCCAGTTTGGCTGGAGATCCTGGAGGTTTTTTGCCATTCTGGGCATGGAACAGTGGTCACTGGGTGTGTGTGTGTGTGTGTGTGGGGGGGTGTTTGTGAATTTCCTGCCTTGTGCAGGGGGGTTGGACTAGATGACCCTGGAGGTCCCTTCCAACTCTATGATTCTATGCTTCTAAGATCCCAGAGCGATTCTGACCAAGAGCGGCCTGTACTGACACTCATCCAGCAAAAGGAAACAGTCAGTGGCAGATAGAGAAAAACTGCTCTACCCAGAGTTTTTTCAGAGGGGATCAGTTCTGCTCTGAACTGGCGCGACACAGGGGTCAATAAGACACTGATGGTTCTAGGGATGCCAGCCTCCAGGTGGGACCTGGAGATCCCCCGGAATTACTGCTCATCTCCAGACTACAGAGATCAGCTCCCCTGGAGAAAATGGATGCCTTGGAAGGTGGACTCTGTGGCATTGGACCCCAGTGAAGCCCCCGTCCTCCCCAGGCTCCACCCCACGTCCCCACCCCAAATTTCCAGGAGTTCCCCAGCCTGGATCTGGCAACCCTAGCCTCCCCATCCCCTGCCAGTGGCCAGGAGAAACCTGGCAACCCCCAGCGCTTCCCTCTCAAGATTCCAGCCTCCATCCCACCCAAACCAGAATTTTAGCAGCCTCCGGGCGGGGTGTGTCAGTGTGTGTGTGTGTGTGTGTGTGGGGGGGGCACATCGTCTTCCCTCCCCTCCTCCTTCCCCTCTGTCCGCAGTGTGTGTGTGTGTGTGTGTGTGTGGCGGCATCACATCGTCTTCCCTCCCCTCCTCCTTCCCCTCTGTCCGCAGGACTGCGGGGCTCAGTCACCACCCCCTATAGGGGGTGGCGACCGGCGATCCATCATCCACGCTCGGATCACGCAGAGAAACTCCTTTGTCACGAACGGCGCCGCCCTCTGCTCTGCCTGGGGTGCCCGGGCTCTTATTCTGAAAGGGCGGCCCCGCTGCCCCTTGAAGCCCTGGTCTCCCCCCCCACACACACACACACCCCGCCGCCACCCCTCCCTCTCTCCCCTTCCAGGAGATCAGCTCTCCCTCCTGCACTCTCTTCTGACTCTCCCCTTTCCACCAGGCACCCACCGCACCATCAAAACATTCCTCCCCCCAAAAGTACTCCTAGCAGTGTGGCTTTCCGCTCTGCCAAAACAACACATGGATCCCCCCCCCCCCAAGCCTTTCCTTCCAGCTTACGTGGGATGTCAAGGAGGGCGGCTGGAGGGCAGGTCAGGACATCTTAACCAAGCACGAACCTTGGCGCTGAGTCAAGACTTGGAGCGCTGGGGAAGATGAAGGGCAGCCCATGAATAAATGAAGCTCTCTGGGTCTCTCTGGCACGCTAGGCAGGAGTCGGGTTCCACTGAAGTGCTAAGGCTGGGGCCCTGCGGGGAGGGGGTGGGGTGGGAGGGGAGCCGGGCCGCTTCAGGCCACGGGGCAGAAGGGTCCTCTCGACAAAAAAGTTCTCCTCCAC